AGAACTTCTGAATAGTGCTAATAAGCTGAGAGGAAAAAAAGAGGATATCCTTGGCATAGGAAGCTGGTCTCAAAGCACCTGATCTAGATTAAAATCTCTGCTTTCTTAAACCCTCCCCCAAATTACAAACCCAAAGTCTCAAGCCTGTATTTATTGGGTTCTTTCTTGCTCTCTCTTACACTCAGTCCATCATCTCTTATGGTGAGGGTTCTCCCTCACTGCAACGAGTCATGCACCCCATTTGATCAACTACACATATGCTCCTGGTGATTTTCAGCTGAAGGGCTTTGACAAGGCATATTTGTATAGGTAGGTCATACATTAGAAACATAGAATGTATTTTTCCATTCATCTATCCACTTTAAACTGATATGTATTTCCGTGTAACTCTGTATTTCAATTTCTTGAATGGTAAAAGAAAATAATACTTTTTCTACTGGAAGTTGCATGATTTATTGTGTGTCAGCACACGGTACTTTAAAGTTATATACATACTGTGGGAAACCGAACCTTTCACTTTCAAATAACATGTCTCTTCTTTCAATGCTTGAGTGAGCAAAACGATGATACTCTGTTAAATGTAAAATTTTCTAAACTCATTGACGTACTTCCAATCAAATGGTGTTTTTTTTTAAATGGAGGCTATTTTTTTTAAAGATTTTATTTATTTATTTGACAGAAAGAGACACAGCGAGAGAGGGAACACAGGCAGGGGGAGTGGGAGAGGGAGAGGCAGGCTTCCTGCAGAGCAGGGAGCCCTATGTGGGGCTCGATCCCAGGACCCTGGGATCATGACCTGAGCTGAAGGCGGACGCTTAACGACTGAGCCACCCAGGCACCCCCAATCAAATGGTGTATTTAGATTAAAGATAAAGTTCCAATATTATTTACATTAATCTAATAACAATGGAGAATAAATTATAGATGGGGTAGAGTGGTTTGTTTGGTTACCCCTTTTCAAAAATTTCTTTTAACAGTTATTTAAATAAAGACCTTAAGAAGACAAAAAGATGGATTCTGCATTAAACAAGCCCTATGGAAACAATATAACAATTGTATAAATAATTGGAGTTAATATTTTGAATCTTTTTTATGAAGGGAATACCACTACTTTATTTTTTTTAGGCAAGACACCTTTTTTTTTTTTTGGGATGGGTCTTGCACTCAGAACTCTGGGATTAAGAATCACATGCTCTACTGAGTGAGCCAGCCAGGCACCCCTAGATAAGACATTTTGAACCCCAGCATTACTGTGTTATGTTTATAAAGAACTTGTGTATATAACTAGAGTACAGTTCTAGAGTTAATGACTGAACTTCATGAATTTGTTAGTAAAGCCTTTGGACAAGAGAAACTGTCTTCACTGGACCTGTGAATATGTAGAATTATTAAAATAAGGAAGAAGAAGAGAATATAAAAGTGTTGATGCTAACACTTCTATTTCAATTATACTTTCATCAAATTGTGCACCTCATTGTGTGCTTATGACATGCAAGGTCTAGTTCTAGAAAGCTTATGTTTGTAAGCAATGTCAAAAGATCAGTTTCATTCACTGCTTCAAATAATGATAGCATCAGTCAATTCAGTGGTAAAGCCATTTTAATAAAATTTTTTGAAGGGAAAAATAATGATATTAGGAAAAAAACTATGCATTTTTCTATCATTATAAATCTACATTTCATTTTACTATCCTATGAGATTGTGAAGGGAGAATAGTAAATAACATAACTATCATTAGAGAAAAGTTAAAATTGTCTTAAAACCTAAAATGCATTATTTGCCTGTGTAATGAACTTTTGAAAATATTAAGTAATGTAAAAATGGCAGATAACACATCCTGTATCTTCTAATTTAAAACTAAAAAAAAAATTTGCTGATGTTTTTAAATGAAAGTGTTAAGTTTAAGATATTAAGGTCTTTTATATGCAATAAATTTGTACAAGAAACTATTTTACTACAATTTTTTATTTTTTATAAATTTCTTCTCATCTTTACTGGTATTTTTCTTAACATATATTTATTAAAATATCTTCATATCTAGTCAAGTTGTTTTATTTTTTGAATGCAAGAACTAGTTTTCCTTCTTTTTCAAAACTAATTGTTCTGTTGTTGCTGTTTAGTTGGGATTTCTTTCCGTTTTTATTTTGTTTTGTTTTTGCAAAACACTGTGATCAACCCAGACACAACTAGCTGTGAAACTCTCAGGCAATTTGTAGAAAATACATTTTATTATTTTATAAATGAAATTCTTTAGTTTCTGAATTATTCACATTTCACAGAAAAGGTTGATTATTATCACACATGCATGCTGATGCCAAACATGATTTATAGAAAAATAATGCTAATTAAGAATAAGCAATTTCTTATCATTCTAATATTTGTTTGCTTTACTCAGATAACATAATATAAACTAGAGAAGAAAATTATTCAAGCATATTAATAATATTTAAATGCAATAACTAACCAAAATATTTTTAATACAAAGATATAAATGTATTAATGTTAATAGCATTTAATAAGAGAAAAAGTATTCTATTTGTGACCATTATCATAGTGGAAATGGATTGTCGTTAGTAAGTTGTACCGTGTGAATTCCTGTTGGATGCCACTTAAACATCTCCGTCAAGATACTAATTTTTTTTTTTTAGAAAATCACTGCGGGGCATGTGGGTGGCTCAGTTGGTTCGGCGACTGCCTTTGGCTCAGGTGGTGATCGTGGAGTCCCTGGATCGAGTCCCGCGTCGGGCTCCCGGGCTCCCGGGCTCCCAGGCTCCCAGGCTCCCTGCTCGGCAGGGAGTCTGCTTCTCCCTCTGACCCCCCCCACCTCATGTGCGCGCTCTCTCTCTCTCTTCTTTCTGTCTCAAATAAATAAATAAAATCTTTAAAAAAAAAGAAAATCACTGTATTTAATATATTTTATTACATAGAATTATATATTAAGAATAGTAGGACAGTATGAAATCAGTTATTACTTCCTTTGCTTCAGTTTTTCAATATGTGATTGCAACCTTAAACTAGTATACTTTATGTAGATTCCTATGGTTTCTTTATTTCTCTTCTTAATGAGGCCCACACTGATGATTTTGGTTTCACGGTGATTTGTGAGAACTTGGGAATAGCCACTTAGTAAGAAACCTTGTTTTTTGAGGTTGCTTCAAGATTTCTAGGCTTCTAAGCATAATTAAAGTTAATGAAGAAAAAAATGAATTGCTCTACTTAAAATTGTTATTTAGGGTCTTATAAAACTTGAACAAGTTGATACATGAGATACTCAATCCCTAACAGCCTCAAATGATTTATTTAATAGCAACTGCTCTAAATTCACATTTCCTATTGCTCAGCATGCCTTATACATTCTGAAAACCAGTGTCAGAAGCTCACCTGTGCTACCCACTCTTTTTATCCTTCGAATTTTCAGAGATGCTTTCTGTTGACATGTAGGGATGTTCTCTGTCTCTTACTGACTGTATCTCTGCCTTCAGAGGGAACATATTCAGTTTTCTACAAATATACCAGGAAATTCTGTATGCTGTTCCATTAAGTAAATAAATGCTGAAAAGATCAACAAGACAAATGAATTATCCTAACAAGTTGCAAAATAGAGGCACTTATGTTTAAAAGAAAAGAATGCAAGTGGAAATGATGTTTTATATATATATATGTGTGTATATATATATATACATATATATGTATATAAATGCAAAAAATATTGGTCAGAAAGAGTATATAGAAAGCTGTTAACTGTGGTTTGAAGGGGATAGTGATATTGCATATGTAAGAAGAATGAGTTACAAAAAAGTTACAGGACATTTTTACATTTATGCTTTTCACATGCTACAGTATATTTGAATAAGTTATAATTTTATTAAATTAACATTTGTTATGTGGATCATAGGGAGCCTGATGGTGAGTCACTATTCAACAAAAGACCACAAGAGAAATAGAGAAGTATTACTTACAGGCCCTGGTGAAAGTGCATGGAACAAATCTAGAGGGGTCAGTTTAAATCAAAGGAAGCAGAGTTTTAGTAAGCTCTATGGGGTCTTATCTAAGGGACACACATGCGGAAAGCCCTGGGAGGCAGCGGAGACTTTTGATCACAAGGGCTCTTGGGAAATCATATCAGGAACTTACATTTGTTTGTGACTCTGCAAGCTATTACCTAGGGCATGCACTTGACTGAGGGGCTAGTGTTAGTCTAAGATCCCTGCTGGCCACTTGTCTAAACAAATGATGCCAAGACAGCAATACCATGGAGTAATTTAGCTAAACTCTTGATAAGAAGTAAATATGTATATACACATGTATAAACAAAAATATATTTTAATTGATATTGATTTACACATTTATAAGCCAAAAGAATATTACAGCCATGCAAGAGAAAATGGTATCAAAAAAGGAGGAAAATAAAGAATACCAAGCAATTCTTCCTCTACCTACATTTATTTGTTCTGCTTTGGAATTTTCCTTCCCAGTTTTTCACTGCCTACAGCCTATAATTTACCAGATAAAAATATATTTGCCAACTTTAGCCCATGTTTAACAAAAATACTTATGTTGCAACGTTCCCTGTACAAAATGTTTGGTTTTGAAGACAACACACTGTGAAAATTACAAACATTCCTCCCATATTGTCCATTTTCAAACTTCCCAACAGAATGAAAATACTGCTTAATAGCATCTTTTTTTTTTTTTTAACACATTTATTTATTTGACAGAGAAAAAGCACAAGCAGGGGGAGCTTCAGAGGGAGAAGGAGAAGCAGGCTCCCCGCAGCGCAGGGAGCCGACACGAGGCTCGATCCCAGGACCCTGGGATCCTGACTTGAGCCAAAGGCAGACGCTTAACCAACTGAGCCAAACCAGGCACCCCAAGAGCTCATCATTTTTGGACCCACTCTTGGTTCAGGGCAGAACTTATCCACTGTCTACTCTCAAGAGAAGAAAGAGGGGTAGGGTGGGAATAAGAAACATTTGTGTTTCAAGGAAGAGGCTTTTTTTTGGAGGGAGTGGGGCTCTGCCTGGCTAGCACCGCCCAGCACTATCCTGGTCAGGGCTTTACTTCTTCTGGATCTCCAGGGCCCTCTCCTTCCGGATCTCCTTGGCCAGCTCCCCTATCAGTCTCCAGTATTCGTGGAACTTGAGCTCGGAGTCCTGATTCACATCCAAGCTCTTCATCTTCTCATCTAAGGAGCCCACATCCTTGAGCAAGTGAGGCAACTGCTGAGTGGCCAGTTCCCTAAACTCATCGATGCTGAGGCTACCCTTCCGGCCCCCCTGCCCCGCAAAGGTGAAGAAGGTGGTGACTACTGTCTCAATGGCAGCCTCCAGCTCAGTCAGTGGTTCTGCTGCCATCAGGACTCTGACTGAAGTGGGCTTCTCCAAAGAGGTGGCACTTGAGCCATGGATTTCCACTGGAATTTTATTAGGATAAATGTAGACATATTAGGAGGTATCTGCATGAACAAAAGCAGGCATTGGTGACTGGCGTAGGACCCGGAGCCCTGGCCTTGGCTGGGGCGTCTATGGCCCTTCACAGCTCGGAGAGAGCCCGCGTCCAGCACCGGGGCCCAGGGACTCGGGAAGAGGCACTCGAGGCAAATCCCGCGTACGGAGTTGTAGATGGTCGCCCTTGGCCGGGGCGGGGCACCGCGACGTCTTTCACCCCGAGACCGAAACTGCTCTCAGGGGTCCACCCTGCCTGGACCGACAACCTCCAAGACCACCCTGCTTAATAGCATCTTAAATTGACTTAATGCATGTGCAGTTTTTGAACACCATGATTAGACCCAAACATAAAGACCCTGGAACATTTTATATCTATTCTTTCCAGCATAGGTTAATTACTTGTTTCTAATTGGTTCTTATTGAAAAGCTATTCTTTTTATTAACATTTCCCAAGGACTATAGTTTCAGAAATGGTGGAAGACCATTAACTTCAAGAGTTACAGGAGATTCAAGTTAGTTAATTAACTTACCTCATTATCAAATGATGACCCTGAAGCATAAATGAAAGTTGAATGACTCTACCACAACATTCCCTTTACAAGTTTAAATATCATAGTAATAGTATTAGGCAACATTTACTGAGAATGTCATTCACTGCTTTAAGCATTTTTAATATATCATCTGCCTTAATGCTCGAAATACTGTTTTAAGGAAAATACAATTACTATCCTCATTTTAGAGATAAAGAGCATTAAGTGCCTAGTTACTAAGTAGATTTTCTTTTTATCTATTTATCTGGCTCCTGAACTTCCAATTTTACTACTGTGCATTGATCTGGTTTTAAATGATTTGGGTTTTAAAGATGCAAGATATGACAAACTGCTTTGGCCATTTTTAAGGCTAAAAGAAGAACATGATTTTCCTTCCAGATTGAGTTTTCATAAAGAAATTGTCCATAGTCTGGACTTTCTGGAATCACAATTTTATTGACAGAGTACCATATTTGATCCTTTACAAAATAATTTTCATTTATGTATACATATTCTAGTTACTCTAATACAGTGTGTTTACTTTTATTCTTTTCATGAACAGATTCCCAATTTATGCCAGAATTCTGGTATAACAGAGAATTCAATATTTGACCTTTACCTATAGTGCAGCTTTTCTCGGCTTTTTTAACAAATGATAAATCTGCTCTACCTCCCACCCCACCCCACCCCCAACACATACACATCCAGGAAGTAATATCTTGGGGATAATTTTCAAATAGGATGCATTCATTATGTATTGTTTTTAAAATGGATTTTGGCTGAAACCAATTATCATGTTTAGAACTAAAAGTAGGATCTCTCACTGTGTAAATTGGGGTTTGCCAATACCAGTGATGTGGGAAACAGAGGCAGAAGAAAAATTATTAAATTTCCTTACTACCTACAGCCCATGGACAAGTCCTTGAAACAGGTAGAGTGATATTCCTCTCGGTACTCAACTGCCTCAATGTTGATACTTTGCTAAAGGCAAAAGGCAATTCTAGCCTGAGACCCCCTTCCCCAGGATCCTGTAAATCTACTTTAACGTATAAAAATTCCTTTGGAAACTTCCTTTATCTCTAAACCCCCCGGAGATACGTGTTGATAATCATCCCACAAGCATATGGCCCACCAATATGCATCTGAAGGGTCTCATGACTAAGGTTTTATTAGACAGTAATAAATCACATTTTCCCAACAATAGCTAGCCCCCTCAAGGTCCTGGAAACCTTGCTTCCAAAACTCCTTAGAGACTTATGCTATCCCTAACACCTTCCCAACTTGAAAGTATACAATGGATCACTCCTCATGACCCCGGTGCCGCTCTTCCTGTCCACGGGTCCTGTCCCCATGCTTTAATAAAACCACCTTTTTACACCAAAGATGTCTCACGAATTCTTTCTTGGCTGTCAGCTTCAAACTCTAACGTCTTTCTTATGTCACCATCACCACAACTACACCACTACTCAGGCTGGTGGTATTTTATTGATTCTTAAGAATAGATTAATCCAAACAATGAATCATGGAACACTACATCAAAAAATAATGATGTAATGTATGGTGATTAACATAACATTAAAAAAAAAGAATAGATTAATCCATTTGGTAATCACTTTTGAAAGATGGCATGTTCTATCTTCAGGAACTATGTGTATTATATGAGAAAGGGCACTAGATAAAATATCAGGCCAGCTAGATTTTTTTCCCTAGCTTCACTACTTATTAACTGTGTGAATTTAAGCATAAATTTGGCCCATATTGGTTAATGTGTGTTCACAGTTTACAAAATGGTTTAACACACATGAATTTATTTGATTTTCATACCATGAGTTATTTGTCATTATTATTTGTGTGCCTACATATTTGAAACCTGAAGTTTAGAGAGCTTCTATGATTTCATACAAAACTTTACCCAAAGTAAGAAGTGAACTCAGGCAAACTCCTGGGTTTGTGATTTCAGATCTAGTGCTTCCTTGGCCATACCACACTTTTCTTGATTGTATGGGGTTGGAGTTGATAATCAAATGAAATACTATATCTAAAAGTAGTAGGTAAACTCTGAAATAATATACAGAATAAAAAAATTTTTTGTACTATCAATTTCTATAAAACCATTGTATTTATTTTTTACATTATATGTGCAGTAATTTAAAAAATAAAATTAGTATTTATTTCTTATAAAAATCAAAGCTAGTGCAGAAGGGTTTAAAAAAAAAAATAGTCTTCTATCACTACTCACTGTTTACTCCCTAGAGAATTTATGGTTAATCTACAATCTCTCTCACACACACACACACACACACGTGCATGTCACTGGTGAGTTATTGAAATATTAATAGCTGAAAACTATGTAGGAACTACATGCTAAAATTTGTGTTAAGATAGCTATCCCGATAACTGTGTATTGCTCAGTAGTCTGAGAATGTGAATGTGGTTAATTGTATGTGTCAACTTGGAGTGTGTTTTTTGATGTGATTAACATTTAAATTGGTGAAATTTAGTAAGCAGATTGCTTTCCACAATGTGGGTGGGCCTTCTCAGATTAGTTGAAGTCCTGTATAGAACAGAAGACTAGCCTCCCTGAGCAAGAAAGAATTCTCAATATTTAGTTAGATAAATATAAATAATATAAATATAAATATAAGTACATCTCATTAGTTCTGTTTCTTTGGAGAAACTGGCTAATACAGAGGGTCATATTTTGTAATAACATCCAATACTTCACAGGCAGTAAACATTTATTTCTGAAATAATTTTCTACAATCGTTATTTATGCAATTTGAAATATAATTTAAGATAAAAATTCTGAAAATTGTTTACATTTGTTTATGCCGCTTCAAAACCCAAGTTTTAATTGAATATTTACCACATCACAAAGGCATTTCATTTTTAGAGACGTTTTCTTTTTTAAAAATAGATATAAAAATGAGCTAGAATGATTTATGGAGCATGTCACGTGAATTTTAGAGATTGCTGTTTTCTTAAGATCGTTTTTTTTATGAAAACATTTTTCTTCCATTGCCTTAAAAAGGTACACCTCTTTTTCTTCAAGTAAAGGTTTCTACTTTTTCTATTTTTGTATATTTATTTATTTTTTTACCCTTTAGTGGTTGATAAAGAATGTCATTGGATCACCGCATATAAATTAAAGAGAAAAAAACAAAACAGACACAGGCATAAATGTCACCTAGTCTTACAAGCCTATCAGAAATTTTTAACACAATCTTTTTGGAGATAGGCATAATTGAAAGGAAAACAAAAAGTCAGAAACTTTTGGAGCCAATGACCTTAAGAGTAGTTTTTTAAATTATTGACGTTGGTTTTGTTTCTTGAATGTAATTACATTATTTGAGCTGGATTTTTTGAAAACTGATATATATTGCAAAACCAGTTTTAATATAACTCAGCTTATGTTTCTATCAAATGTAATATAACTATTATGAAAAAAGTAACAATGATATAATAATTTGACATGATGGTAGAAGCAAAGTATATCTCTTTACCATTTTTTTAAATTTAGATGACCAAAAAGCTAGACCCATTCATTGCCGTACTGAAAGCAAGCCTGAATCTGCTGTGTAACTATTATAATAAAAAATTCTGCTGGTTTTGTCATGCTTCCTGGGAGGGAAACAGTAAACCCTTGTTATTTCCAGAGGGGTAGAATTGTCGGTTATTCATAGTGAGATCCTAAGATTACACCGGAGTCTATGCTAATGAGGTGACTCATGATGGGTACCTAGATAGTTTATGCAAACAAGATGATTCAGGTTAGGGTGCTGGCCCTGCCAAAAAGAACAACCATGTTATTAGAAGTTTATGTACAGGTGATATTAACCTGACTTCCTGGGAGGGGATAGGGGCTGGAGAATAAGCTCAAATTATGTGACCAATGATTCCATCTATCCTATTTTTGTAATGAAACAAGTCAGCTTCCCTGGTTAACAATATTCTGTGCATACTGTTATGCATCAGCTTGTTAGGCAGAGGGTAGGGGGGTGGAGGTGGAGGTGTATGTGACGTGTCTTGATTCCAAAGAGAGAGAACCTGGAAGCTTCAAATTTGGGCTGTCCTAGGCCTCACCATATGCATGACCCTGATTTTGTGTCCTTTGTGCTTTAACAAAGTTGTAATCATAAGTCTAGCACGTTCCTGAGTTCTGTGAGTCCTTCTAGTGAATTGTCATACCTGACTGATTGGTAGGAAACCCCAGATTTGTAATCAGTTGGTCAGAAACATCCTAGGAACACTTGAGTTATCACCTGGTCTCTGAAGTGAGGGCAGTCTTATTGGAGATTGTGCCCTAGTAAGCAGAAAGAGTTATGGCTCCCCAGAAAAAGAAAGAAAAGACATAGCTTTTGTGATACAAGACAAGTCA